ACAGTCCCACCCACATACATACATACAAACAAACAAACAAAAATGTAGATCCTGCAGACCTAAACCATACCCAGCTCACATTTATAGAGCCCTAAAACCACCTTGCTCTCTTACTAAGTTTTTCTTTGAGATTCTCAGACAGGTAAGCAGCTTCATAACTAGAAACAAATCAGGCTGAAGTAGTAAAGGATGTGTGATTATCCTCTCTCTGCTTTACTAGCTTTGGAAAGTGCAAGTTGACTCCCCCCCATAGAGATGCAAATACATTACTGGCTCTTACTCCCTGGTCAAACAGCTATTTCTGTTATTTCTTTTCACAAAGACACCTGGGTGGCGTCATCCTTACCAAGGAGAGAAGGAGGAAAAGTACCTTTCCTCACTGTTCAGAAGAAATGAAGAAGAGCCAGTTGTTAAGAACAATGTATGAGCCACCAGTCTCCCTAACAAACAATGGACCTGCCAACTTTACCATGTCAGTGGTCCTTTGGGCACTTTTAATCTGTTGCTGTCCATACTCCTACTCTTCTAACAATATTAAAATAGTTTTAATGGTCAAATTGAGAGCAGAAAGAAACATGTTTGCAACCAGCAATATATTTGCATGAGGTTTGTACTCAAGTTATGTATCCATGTACAGCATGAACATATTTATTTTATAATATATCAAGAAACAATAACATGCCTTCATCCTTTCCTAAACATTGGTTTCTAACACATGGATAATTCTAAGACCATACACTGAGATCCAGCTGTGGCTTAGAATCATGTCCTCCAGTCTGGCTGATTCTAGCATGCCAGAAGGGAACAGGCATGTCAAGCTATGGCTTTGGTTAGGCATGTGCACAGCCTTGAGACAAATAAGCAAAGATGGGCCAAATCAGGCTCTTTGTTCAATTTTGGGGGAGAAAAGAACTGCTCTTCAACCCTGGAATGGAGCAACACCACAACAGGTCCATTACTTAAATCTAACATTTGGAGAATTAAGAAGTTGGACAGTGATATCAAATGAGGCTAGGGAAAATTCAAACTAATAGAGTAGACTGAGCTGCTGGAAACAAAGGAGAATGTGTGTGACAGCTAAATCTCCCATAAAGCTCAAGATCACTCCTGGACACTCCAGCCACCAAGGCGCCAGGGAGGGCTTGAGTTGAGGTCATTGCTTGGGATGTATCCTCTGGCAGGCCCTTTTCACCAGCCATTTCTCAGAGGTGTGGGGTGAAAAGAGAGACTTGGATTGCTGTTCCAACAGCCTTCTCACACTTAGGAATATTATTTTTCTTTGTTCTCTAACTAAGCTCAGTATGCTGAACATTGTGGGAACATTGTTACACTAGTTGGATTTAGTGTGTGAGTGATTGTGGGAGACGATTGTTGTATTAGGGTTGAGTGGACAAGTCACACGTTTAGGGCACTGTGTAGTGCCCTCCCCAGGTCATAGCTGTTTGCATTTCTCCCTCAATCGCTGGGTTTTCCCCCCTTAATGATGACCTGGAGGCACACAAATAATGACATAGACCCAGGGATGGGGTGGGTGAGTTGGAATGTGTCCTAAAAGGCACAGGATAGGGAAGGCCACAACCTGTATGCCTTTTATTTGGGTACAGAGGAGGATCAGTAAGCTGCTGTGCATACTTCTCTTCGGGTTATCTTGACTTTAGGTTTCCAAGACTTAGTCAGGTAACATGTGATGTAGTATATCACAAATCTGCATAAAACAGAGGCAGAGTCCATCAGCTTTGATGACCATGTAGTTTTACAGGGTTGCTGATCAAACTACTAAAACATGAGACACTCTGTAGCTTACTGGAATTAAATCAGGAATGGGCTGTAATTCCCATCAAACCTAGGCAGCGTATCCAGTAATAGTAACAGATAATTGGAAATGTAGTTCGACAACATCTGCAGGGCCACATGTTGTCCATTCTTGAATTATACGCCCTAAATTTCTATGTGCTTATATGTTCCTTGTGATACATACATACATACATACATACATACATACATACATACATACATACATACATACATACATACATACATACATACATACATACATACATACATACATACATACATACATACATACATATTCTATATGAGAGAGTTCTATTTTCCAAAACTCTCAGTCAATAATAATAACAACAAAAGCTTTTCATAGTCCATGGCCTCCTAATTTTTTTCTGTACACTGCAGGTTCAAAATGCCAAAACACAAAAAACTTTTTACATGAAAACATATAACAAAGCAAAGACTAAGTAAATAATTTTGTTCTCTATTTCGTGCTTCTGAAAGACATGCTTAATTCTGTGTTTGACTGCAGGCAACAAAGACTTCTGTAGTGTTTAAATGATAATCTGAAATAATTTGAGTTCAGTATCACAAAGACAGGCCCAAGTTGGAGTCCTCCAGACGATGGATTGCAGCTCCCATCACCAACATTGTAGACCAATATATCTGGAGGATACCAGGTCAGGAAAAGTTACAGGAAATTCAGAGCTCAGAAGCATTACTTTTTAACATCACAACCCCGTGTAGCATGGTTGGCAGGAAGCTTCTGGGAGCAGTAATCCAAGAAAGTAACATTTCTAAGCTCAGGTCTAGTCATTGTTCTGTATTAGTTCTCTTGCTGGTGTTTCTTTGGTTCTACATTTTTTTGAATAAAAATCCCTGGCAGATTGAGTTTAATTTAGCAGAAGTGAAGTATATTTCAGTCCCATTAATTGTTTAAATGAACAATGCTTAATTTCATCTGGATCCCAGCCAGAATACAGGACTCACAATAAAAGCTCCGGAAAGGTAGGAAAAAGGTACAGCTGAACAATAATAATATGAAGCAGAAGTGGAAAACCATGTCCTTCCCATTTTCCCTATTATGCTCGCATTTGACACAAGTGGCTGAGGCAAATGGGGTCTTTGGTTAACTATTCAGTTTTCTATGTGCTTCTAAGCTTATTTGTTTCAGATGTCACTATTTTCTTGTGCAGAATGATATTTGGTGTAGCCATGTTCAGAATGGCAGTTCCATCTTTCATGTTCCAGCATGTCCTTGCCTCCCATATATATACATATATATATATGCCAACACAAGAAGGTTTCGATTTTGCTGCTTGCAATTTCCAGTCCCTCGGCTATGCCACCACAAGAAGGTTTCGATTTTGCTGCTTGCATTTTCCAGTCCCTCTTATATATATATATATATAAGAGGGACTGGAAAATGCAAGCAGCAAAATCGAAACCTTCTTGTGGTGGCATAGCCAGTGAAGAAGGGTGACTGGTGACAAGTGCTAGCAAGACGTGAACATCTTTAAGGTGCCCTTAGGGTACAGGCCATCATCCTTAGGTCCTTGAAACTTATGGGAAGGGGCCATTTTTAATGGATTGTAGGAGACAGGAAGGCCCTAATTGAATCCCTTGCAGTTCTCCACCATTTCCTTTTTCCTCAGGGGCTGTGGTCCTCCCCCACTTGAGTAGCTATATGAAGTGGAGCCAAGAAGGAAATAAGTAAATTGGGCTCATCAATAAAGGGGTTGCACCAGACCCTTGTGATCTGCTAATCTACCCTATGTACAAACCAGCAGATATTTCAGCCATTCAGAATGTACTGGTAGACGAGCTTAGTTACTGGGACCTCCAATTGAGCAAGAATACGTATTGAGGTTGAAAATGGATGGCTGAGCATACACTGTACATTTGAGACACAAAGAACTCAATCTCGCTCTCTCTTTTTTAATGGATAGTGTGAGGAATATCAGACTGCTTCATCCACATATATGGATTTGAGTTGAATCCTACCCTGTCCAAGCATGTCTCTCCCCCTCCCCCCAATTAAAGGCTCTTCACCTTCAAGACCTATAGGACAAGCAAATGCAACATGGCCTCCTCTGTACGGTGAATCTTGCTGTAGGCACCTACCTATTCAGTTTGGCATTTGGAAGAGAAGTTTAAACCATGTTGGCAACAGAAAAAGAAAAAAGAAAAAGAAAAATATTATAGCACTTTAAAGACTAACAGTTTGATTTCAGTGTATGTTTTTATGGATCAAAATCCATTTCTTTAGACATAACGAGTGTGAATACATGCATTTGCACTTCCAAGTGTTTAAAGAAGACAAAAAACTCACACTGAATTAAAACTGTTAGACTTTAAAGTTCTACAATATTTTTCTTTTCTTTTTTCTTTCCTTTTGCCAACATGCTGAGACAGAATAAGATGGCTATCGTACTTCTTGTATTTCGGTTAGGTTCATGTTCAGCGGTGATTAGCTACAGGTTCTTTGATTTAATAATTGATATACTTCTTCAGTTTATAGGTATCTGGCACACAGATATTAATGTACACAAAATTATAGAGAAGAGGAAGATGGTGTATTTAGCATTGCCTCAATTTAGAAAGGCAGGGGAATAATTTCATACATCTGTCTCTCTATGGTCAAACATTCAAATGGGAAAAAAGTTAAATATGCAAAACTAGCATTTTATTAATTATATCTTAGAACAACTGGTGCCTTGCACAGCGCGTGAATAAAACACAAGAAACAATACTGGGATATATCGAGTCAGAAGTATATTCTCAGAAGATTGGAAACTCTACAAGGAAAGGTAATGAGCACAGAGGGAGAGCATTTGGGAAGAAGTGAAAGAATTGGACATGGTTTGTACCCTGAATGTAGAGCATTGTTGTTTCCTAACATATTGTCCCATGCAGTGAAACCTATGGGATGCAGTCAGTGGGAAATATATTATTGAAAAGTATATACAAATATGTATAATAATTTATTCCTAGACTGGATTGACAATAGCATATGGGGGAAAACTACCCTGTACTAGTACCTTTAAAGTTTAATGGGGGAGAAAAGCAGACCATATGAAGGATGGATAAATTCTATGATATTCTGAGTGGCGACACTGAGACTTGAAAAGGCTTTCACAAGTAGGAGTAGAGAAGGGACAAGGGCAATCAATTGTGCAATACATAACGGATAATTTTTTTTACAGATATACCAGAAGGAAGGACCTGAAATGTAAGGAGACTGAGAGCAGACCATTCTTAATTAGAAGCCAAAGGCTTAAATCCAACAGCTAGTCTCCAATGAACAGAGACCCACTCCAGCAATTATGTCACGTTGGCTCTTGTTTAAGTCCTGATGATTTAGTACCTGAGCAGGAAGTAGGAACTGGATTTAGGCCCCCATCAGGAGCGGGGTCCATTTTGAGGTGCACAACACTTTTAAAAATGTTTATTGAAAGAACATGGAAATAACAACAAGAGCAACAACAATAAAATAGCACAGGTTTTTCACTAGAAATGTATAATCTGATATGTGAACAACACGTTTCAAGGTTTTTTGTCCAGCAAATTCCTCCTGTTTCCACCTGTTTTCAGTGATGTTCACCCTTGCCTTCTGAAAGGGAGAAGTGGGATACAGGTGGGCTAAATCAGCCCAGTGTAATATAGCTACCAGTTTGTCAAGTGTTACATACTGTATTTACTAGGAGAAAGGTGGCATAAAAATGCAGAACGTCAATAAATAAATGTAGAGACCACCATAACGTCCCTTCATAAACAGCTACTTTTATTTTTATGCAAATACACTGAGCTGCTTCCAGTATGTGAAAAGGCTTGTGCATCTTTCTAGAAAAGAGTGCAGGGAATTTCATACCTCACATCACTGTCAAAATTATGGAGCACTTAGAAGGAAAATAGGCACACTTAGTTCTGTGAATGCAGTCTAGGAAATGGAACACAATCACATTCGATGACATGTAGCACAAATACAATGCGATTTTTAATGTAGCAGCAGTCCTGGTATAAAAAGCAGGTATGTTTTGGATAGTCTGATTTGTAGAGGCATGTTTAAAAATGTGTAAGAAATCCCACAGCTAACATCTCCACTGGAACAGTATCGAGCTTGATACTATTTCTAATGTTTTTAAAAATTTGGCTGACCCTTGCCAATGCCTATTCATATCCCCTGTAAGTTATCCCTGTCATCTAGCTTCAGTACAACAGAAATAATTAACACAGTGCTGAAAAGGTTCTACCAGCATCAGCAGGCTCTCATAAAAGACAATAATTGACAAACCACAGGAGAAGTACATTTAAGTCTATGGGGAGATTTTAATTCCCAGACACAAAGCAAGTTCAGATTTCTGAATTTTTCCATCCTTGTTCATGTCACAATGGCGAAGGAGGATCTGACGAAACTTGTCAAGGTCTGTGGCGCTAATACTGGGCTATCAGGAAGGAGAGGAAAAGATAAGTGATTGTAGGGGAGACAATCCTTCTCAATGAGAGTGAAATCAGGTTATTTTTACATTCTGGAGATAGCAGTCTAATGATCTGTGGGAGGTGCATGGGCAAGTGGAGTTAGACGGGAATGCAAATTACTTCACTGACTTCAAAATGTGATAAAGTCAAATTCTACATTAGTGGATAAAGAAATGAGTGATTTCATCAATTTTCTCCAGGGGAAAGAAATTATTTCACATTTTCTCGGCAGTGGGACTGACAACTAGCAGTGCAGTTCTGAAGCAATAGAAAGCTCCTCTCTTCCCCTTCCCATCAAGTGTGTGTGTGTGTGTTTTGTTTTTCACTGTCACTACAAGTCGTGGCAGAAGCAGCAACAGTGTTAAACTGGCTGCCATTTAATGCCCTCAGCAATTCTTCAGAATCTTCTGTGGCACTGTGAGTGGAAGATGGAAGCTGCCATAAAAGAACAACTAAGATTATCTTGGGAAAATTCTGCAACGTGGTTTTCTAACAAAAAGAGAAACCTTTCCAGCTTTATTTAAAAAGGTCAAAAATATGGCAAACAAGCCCTGCTGACTCAGTGAGCTGAGTGGGGCCCTGGCCTGGTCCTTTTTCTAAAACTGTGTCCTAAGATTACTTCTACTTTTCAACAAATACTATTTAAAGAACAAGTATCAATGAGAACTCCATAGTAATAAAGAGGTGCCTTGAAGATAATAAAGGGAGTTTTCATGCAAATAAAATGCTGGAATATATTTAGAAGGGACAAAAGGAAAACCATCTATTTATGACCCTAACTAAAGCAAAGGATGTTCTATGTAAGTTTTCACTTAACCTTCACTTGTTTACTTTATGCATCCCACAAATATGTTATTAATACATTTCTGGCATATCAATTTATAGGTAGCCAGGGTGGGGGAAGGGATGTGAGGTGAGGATGTTGAAGATACATGGACATTATGACCAAGTCCTGCAAGGCTTCCAGTGCACAGAGAGAGTTTTACATGCACCCAGTTCTCTTCTATAATAGAAAATGTGCCATACTATGTACCACTTTCTTCCCTGCACATAATATAAGAATGTTATCTGTATGACAGGGGGGTGGGGAGAGAAGGAGACGCTCTTTACATTTGGAAATCCATGTGTGCATCAGACCTTCCATATGGTATCATGAAGTTGCCTTATTGAGGTGCTTATATTCATAGGTTTTAGTATCTCATAAAGGGCAATATCCTGTGGGCATAGTTATGCCAATACAAACTGGATGCAGGCACTAGAAATAAACTTGAAACTTCCTATCCTGCTCCTCCTCTCAGGTTGTGAGGTGCACTAGGGCTGTCTTTTGCCTTCCGGAAGTGTTGAATTGGCAGCGCTGGTGATGGGGATCTTAGTAAATTGATTCAAGGACATTCAAAAAATTGAAAATTCCTATCTTTACTGTCCCACAAACCCAGAATTAATTTAATTTCTTCTAATAATATAGGAATGTACTGGACGAAGGTGTTAACAATGGGGTGAGCAGGCACCCTTTCAGCTACCGTCTTTTAACTCTATGATTCTACACATTGTTTTTTGTCACAAAAACTAAAGAAAATAAAGCCATTAGGAAGTCACCTTGACAAGTTCCATCATATCTTTTACAAACCCATCCACTTCTGGACCTTCAAGTGCACCTGTTTTACTCTGCAATATATAAAACACAATTTGCATAATACAAATATATGAGCACATTAAAGCTTTTCTGCCTGTTTCTTCTTCAGTAACATTCTTCCTCACTATATGAAATAAAACAAATGAAACAAATAATGGAGATAGAAGGAGGAGGAGGAGGAGGAGGAGGAGGAGAAGAAAAAGAAGAAGAAGAAGAAAGCCACGTGGTCCTTGTTCAAAATACAAAAACAAAGGTAAGTGAAAATCGTTTAGTAGCCTACCAACATTCCACAAAAAGCCTAGCTTTTGAATCCTGCAGCCCAGGTCTTACTCCAGCTGGGTATTGCAGGGCTGGACGAGAAAGGGAAGAAATAGAAAAGCCTCCCAAATCGTCTTGGCCAGATATTAAAGCCAAGCTGTCTTGTTTAACATTAATTCCAAAATAAGTCTTTATAGCCTTTTAGAAATAGCCTGAGTTTCACTGCAAGCCAATCACTCCGTATATTTCCAATTGCCTTATATCAAAGTAATAGAAGCTGTGATCCATGAAATACGTTATGACATAACATATCTGAGTTTGAATAAATGGAGGGGGCAAAGTGATCCTCACTTGCAGTACCATTGGGTCTACAGGGCATGAAGATTTGATGGCTATTATGGTCATGCCCTTGGCTTTGAAGGAACTTCTGTCTGGCTGTTGGTAAAACAGAATGCTAGACCAAAGAGACCATTTGTGTCTAGCCCAGTAAAGGAGTTCTTATATACTTAGGGATTCTTGGAGTAGTCCTGCCTCAAATACAACACATGGCCACTAGCGGTAAGGTGAAGGTGTTATAACATTGCACAGGGCTCATCAGACAGCTGCGTTTGGAAGCCAGTCCATGGATGGTTGAAAGCTCTGTGCTTGACTCACTTTGAACAGCATAACAAAAACATTTGTTTATAAAGTGCTTTTGTACCATGTAAAGAACCCAGGAGTAAACTCCAGGGACTAAAGCAGGCCAGGCTGCAGGGACAGAGGTAAAGCTCCACTGCCCTACAGAGCCATGAGCTATGGTGGTATTTCACTGGCAAAATCCTTGCATGTTTTTCTAGGAGTCAGTAGGGTGGCCACTTATAAATTATCCCCTCTACCCAAAAGGAAACACTTTTTAAAAATGTGGCAAAAGATAACATAGATTTGCATGAAATATACTAATGCAGATATACAGGTTCAAATTTAGAAATAATAAGTTAAATAGATATACAATGCCCCTCAACATTCTGGGAAAGACAGTGAATAGGAGACCTGTGTGGCTGTTCAGTCTCGTCTTCATTTACTGATGAGTGATGGGCAACCTGGAGGTACTATTCTCTATTTCAGTGGTTCATTATCTTTAAAGTGGACTTGGGCTGAGCAGCCCTTCAAACAGAAATGTTCTTCAAAAGGGCAATTTTGTAAAATGTGGTGTGTTATCTTCAAAGCTCAGAAGTAACTAATTACAAAAAAAGTTACTTTTAATTCCTCTTAGTAATAATTAAAGTATTATAGAATTGCATAATAATTGTAACCTTACAAAGAAATTTTCTTTTTTTCTGTGGTGGAATTAAATTTTTTAAAAAATATAACTATAATAGTAACTAACTATGATACAGTAGTAACTAACCACTGGGGGAGCAATTGCTGCTAATCATTTTTGAAAACTCATTGCCCAAGTGCTGGGCCTGAGAAGCAATACTCCTACCAAATAAAAAGAAGAAGAAACCGCACTTACAACATCGTAGTGTGCAAAGATTTTCTCAAAATCTCTCTTCCTTTCTTCTGTACTACTAGCCTGAATAGAAGTGAGAAGAAGAAAAATAAATTAAAAAACAAACACCTCCCTTCAGAAAAGGATGTGGGAAGGTCACTAAGTGTAGTCAGTAGAAGTTATTGTACTTACATCCAGTCTAAATTGAAGGAGAAAATTTTCCTGGAGAGCCAAGATCCTTAATGAAAAGAGCCAAATCATTACATTTTCAGATATCAACAGAGACAGCAAGTTCTCCTGGGGGGGAAGGAGGATGGGGACTTACCAAGTGCTCCCAAAAACAACAGCTTGTGACATGAATAGGGTTTGCTCCTCTTTGTTTCTGTTTTTTTCTAGACAGAAGTTCTGAGCCTTGGGCAGCCAGGAAACAAACGTCAACAGATGTTGTCTCCAGGGCACAGGGACCCAGTGATGCAGAGAGAGCCACACCTGTTGAAGCTGTGCAAATCCATCAAGGCTATTCCAAAGTGATGCATGAACCATTATAATTTACCTTGCTAGGTCATTCAGATCCAGCCGTCCATCCTTATTTTTGTCAAAGAGCTTCATCTAAAAAGTAAAAGGAGGAAGCCTTTGTAAAATGTTAATCTTAAGAGAATTAGCAAGAAAAAGTGCACACCAAAGCAAAACTCCTTTTCAGAATATCTAGGTAAAGGTAAAGGTTCCCCTTGACAATTTTTGTCCAGTCGTGTTCGACTCTAGGGAGCGGTGCTCATCTCTGTTTCCAAGCCACAGAGCCAGCGTTTTTGTCCGAAGACAATCTTCCGTGGTCACATGGCCAGTGTGACTTAGACACGGAACGCTGTTACCTTCCCACCGAGGTGGTCCCTATTGATCTACTTGCATTTGCATGCTTTCGAACCGCTAGGTTGGCAGGAGCTGGGACAAAGCGACGGGTGCTCACTCCGTCGTGTGGATTCGATCTTATGACTGCTTGGACTTCTGACCCTGCAGCACAGAGGCTTCTGTGGTTTAGCCCGCAGCGCCACCACGTCCCTTTCAGAATATCTAGCTCATGCTAAATATTCATGCTAAATATTTAGCTCATGCTCATGCAAAAGGTACAAGAAAAGGAGAGCTTAAGAGAGTGTAGCATTAGAGTGTTGGGCCAGGACTTGGGAGATCCAGACTAACATTTCCACAAAGTCTTCACTCATTGGGTGACCTTGGACTAGTCATGTTCTCTCAGCTCAGTTTACTTAACAGGATTATAATGGTGGTGATTCACTGGTGAGAGAAGGAAAGTCATATACGTAGACTGCCATAAGTTCAGTGGAGGAAAGGTGGGATGTTAACAACAAGGAAAGAGAGGAAGGAGGAAAGTAAGTGTCAGAGTGAGAACTAGTGTAGCATAGCACACTCGGATTCAGGAAACCTGAGTTCAAATCCCTGCTTGGCCATGAAAACCCGATGAGGTATGGCTTCAGTAAAAGCACTCCTTATATATCTCACTCACCTTGGAAATCCTATTAGGGTGTTCATAAATTAACTGACAGCACATCACACTCATCCAGTAGCAATAATAGTTATTCCTGGATCGCTCTAGAGAAATTTGGTTAGAGTAATCTAGCAACTTTGAAAGGATTGCATGGCCCTCCTTTTACCAGCTTGGTACTGAATATATTTGTGACAATGATATAAATTTACTTCTTCCCTTCCCAAATTATCTTTAGAAAGCCCTGTTCCCTCACTGCCTCATTAAGTAGTCCATTGATTTGATATTTTCTATGGTGTTGGTGTCTTCAAAAATTGTCCTAAATGCTTTTGGAGACAGAGAAGGGTGAGAATGCTAATAAAATGAGATAAAATAAATGTAAGACTATTTTGCAAACCATTTTGTGAACCTTGGGGTAAATGTAGTAGTAGTGACTGTGGAAACTCAGACAATGTCAAGTTTCCAGGACATTGAACCAGGAAGCTTTACTCTGTGTGTAGGGTGGAATGGACGTGACTCCAAATTGGGAAAGATAGTTTTGGATAATGTCAAGCTCCTACAGACTCACAGGATAATGGAGTTGGAAGAAGCCTATAAAGCCATTGAGTCCAATCTTCTAGTCAATGTAGGAATCCAAATCAAAGTTTATCTGACAGAGGGTTGTCTATTTTTCTTAATGCCTCCAGCACTGGTGCACTCACCATCTACTTATGTAATTGGTTCTATTGTTGTACTGCTCTAACATTTAGGAAGTTTTTTTCCTGACGTTCAACCAAAAGCTGGCTTAATGTACTGTAACTTGAGTATAACTCTGGAATAACTGAAAACAGATCTTGCCCCTCCTCTATTTTGCTAAGACCTTCATTCACTTGCTGAAACCCTGTTATTATTGTCTTTTGTATGGTAATCTGCCATTTCTTTTCTATTTCTTGTACAACTATTCCAAAACTTTGAGCTTGCACAGACCAAGTCTCCATTTGATGTCTTAAATTTGGGGGGGGGGCATCTCAGGCTTTCAAACAAGTGGGGTTTGTATAGATGATACTATGTCCTTAACCACAATGATCGCCCCTTAGATATCCTTCAACAGTTTCCACAATTTTATCAACAATCCAAACCCCTAATCATAAACCTCCCCTTAGATCTCCCTCCAATCTTTATCCAAATATTATAATATAAAAATCAACTTTTAACCCAGCAAATTCAAATAGAACTGTGGCACAATTATTTCTTCTTCTCCTGAGTCTAGCAAGCTACTATTATCAGACTCACACACAGTCCAACAAACCAAAACAACAATCACAGAGTCTCAGACTGTCCAGCAGTTGTCCTTGAAGCCTGTCTTATGATTTTTCTATTAACCCACTGATACTCCTCAGTCCAGTTGACCATGTCAGCTCCTTCTTTCTTCTCCAGAAAACCACCAGATTCTATTATCAAAAATTCACAGAGTCCAGGAAAGAAAAAAGAGAAATACGTCCAAGCCAAACTGCATTCACAAAACTCAAGTCTCTTGAATCCTGTCCAATGGTATTACTGTCTGGGATTCTTTTCCAGAAACACAAGATTTATTTTTCCGTCTCATTCTCTCGGCTTTGAAACCAGTCTGCTGTATTAAGAGTTAGTTAGTTAGTTTCGCTTTTGAGGCAGACTGATAAGATAGGCTTGCCGCTGCTTTTCTTCTTTCAGCCAAATATTTTCATTCTTATTTTCAGCTTAATGGGGCTGTTTCATAAATCAAAGGCTTCAGCTTACTTAGTTGTTATATATTTTAAGTTTATATTGGTTGTTCTCCTCTTCCCCAGTAAAGAGTTACTCATGGCTCAGTGCCAAATATGGCTCCCCGCCTCCAATCTGTGCTGGGTGATTTCTTCAGAGGGAAGAAGTCCGGGTTTGCCTCCCATTCTTCTCCTTCTGCTGCTCACCATCTGCTTCAGAGAGAATTCTCCTAGACTCTCCTTCAATCCCCATTTCAAAAAGGGGGTCCCGGACCAGACGGGTTCCAGTTTTTCCAGAGAGCTCTTCTCTGGAGCTACTGGCAGCACCGCAACAAAGCCCCACCTCCACTAAGGGTCAATATAAGCAGAACACTTTTGAGGGACGCTGTTTCTCCACAGCCTTTTCCATGTAATTGTGGTTTAGAAGTTTTGAATACGTAAGTCTTGTGGATGGCAGCAGTTGTTTAATATGAACAGTTCTGCACTGAGAACTTGCTTCACTTGCCAGGGACCCAAAGAGCAAAATAACACATTAAACATTCGAGCAGACGGGCAGACAGCAACACTGCTAAGATTTAGGGAGAAGAGAGTTAATCAGAGCAAAACGTTTGCAGAAACATAACACATGGATTTTTCATATGCCCCAAGTTGTCTGTTCTTCTGTTGACAAAGGCACTGTTTTATTCAATGGGATCATTTTGTGGGCCTCAAATGAAAACCATTGCTGACAGCCTGGCAGATATTATCATGACCTGCTATTCTAGCCAATGAATAATAATAACTTTAGTCCGGATGTGATTATTCTGGCAGCCGAGGTAATGTGATTTGCAGATGAATAAACCAGTAATGAGCTTCCCTTGCATATGGCATTGACAAAATGTAGCTTCGTGCATTGCCGAATGCTGAAAAAACATACTGGGGATTTGCTGATTACAGTCCAATCTAATTCATCGGAACAGCCTTGGGATACGTTCAGGATGCTTGTAAAATTAGGGGATCAAATGTATGGAAGTGGCATTGAGAATTTCTCGGCTACAGGCTCAGAATAGGGGAAACAGTGACATATGTGTCTTGGAAAGGAGATTCTCTTTCCAGCTGAAAAGGATACATTTTTGAGGGATATTGCAGAAGAATGGGTGGCCTTTTAAATTTTAATCTAATTTCCTCCTTACTCAAGAACACTGGGGATTTAGTTCTGCACTCTTTTTATTACTCTCCTCTTAAATCACTGCAGTTTGTCAATATATTTTGTTCATTCAGTACACACAAAATAAAAGACAGACTCCAGACACCATTCCTTGCTTTGTGATACTGAGGTTTTCTAGCATAGTGCAGTCAGGGCTTGCAGTGTTAAAGCACCAGAAGTTTTTTTAAAGCACATATTGTTGTATCACCTATTTCTCCACCCAACAAAAAGCTCTCCTGCCCCCTCTAAATTGAGCTGTTGTTCCCATAATACCTAGGAGGGAAAATGAGTATCCAAGCAAGAATGTATTATTATGAGTTATCACTGTTGTAATGCAAAATCTTTGGGGGCAAACCTCCTGAATGGGCATGAAGACCCATTAGCTTTAAAAAAGACTGGTTCTTGGTAGAATAAAAACTGCTAGAGTTGTTTTTAAAATCTAAATTAACACAACTGCCTGTATTTTTTAAATTCTCCTTGAAGGCATGACTATAAAGACTGCCATGAGGAAAACCTATACTTCAAAATTTCACTCCTGATGGCAGCTGGATTACATTCCTCTAAAAATCAATTGTATTGAAATAGAACTTTAATTCCAAAAATTTGGAGTGATGGTTCTAATAAAATGAAGAAGAGAATATAAGGATTGTCTGCAGCCATGCAGTAACAGTACAGTTATTTAATCCCATATACCCTGGGAAGGAGTGGATAACTCACCAATAAAGTTGTGTTTCTTCTGTGCAATAACAGCAGTGATAACAACAACCAAAGCATATGCCATGCCAAGAAAAACAGCATTGTGCAATTTTTCTAGAGCATGCCATTGGATCAGGTTTGCACCTACTCTATTCCCATGTTTCTTTTGCATTGAATATATACCCAATTAACAGTTTATATGCACATGAAAAACAGGTATAAAAGCACCAGCAGAAGTAGCAGTCATTAAAAGAGCTCAAACATAACCAAAAACGTTAAAGAATAAATGCACTTCGTCTGGTGATCAGAATGGAGGAAAGATTTATCAACATGAATGTGTCTCATAAGAGAGTGCTGCATAATTTCAGAACAACCACAGAAAAAGATCCTCTCTTGTACCTACCTCACGTCCATTCACAAAGTGAGGATGTGCCACAAAAAAGAGGAGAGGTGATTTAGGCTGATGAATGCTCTACCTGCACCTCTCCCCTGCGCTCAGTATTCCATCATCATCTATTGCTTCATAATTCCATTCTGTGTAACAAATCTCTTAGGCTAGTTAGAATACTGCGATATTCCGATAATAACTACAAATTATAGAAATTAATACAGAAAATGTGATCTCTGCTTACCATGGTATCAGTATACTCTTGCAACTTTGCATCAGAAATAGCTTTTCTGTGTTGCCGAAAAAGATCTTGCAGGAAGTTCTGTTGTCAAGAAAAAGCAGAAACATTGTTTGTACAGTTTCTGACTCATATCAAGAAATAATATGAAGGTTCAAGACTTGAATCATTGAAGATCCTAAATTCATGATCAGCTGATACACAGTTGTTTGAATATTCTGGAGTAAGATCCTCACAGTGATCAAAGAGTAACTTTTGACTGGAGAAGGTGTGTGGATAAAGCACAAGAAGAACCTGCAGAGAACTTACTTTAAGCTCACCCGCCGAAATGAAACCACTGCTATCTGCATCATATTGTCGCCAGATCTGCAGGGGGGAAATCAGTAAGATAATATGATTTGAAAACAGATGTTCAAGAGGTTGTTAAGGAGTCAAAAAATCTTTTACGAATGTGCTAGAGAACATAACAAATGTCTTGATATGAGGAGTTTGGTGAGCAATTATATTGTTAAGAAGGGCAGCAACCGAAAAAGGATGAGAGTCTCCTAATCAGGAGTACTCCACTGTAATTCTTCAGTGAATTGGCTACATATAACCCATATGCATCCTTAAGGCTGATCCTACCATTTAGCCCACTGAGGTGACTGACTACCTCACACACCAGAGTTTGAATGTCTAGAAAGGGCATCAAATGGCTTGTTAGTTAATTTATTTCCACTGGGTGTTTACTGCCAGGAGGGTGAGACATTTGTGAAATTTTCTCCTTGAGGTGCCAACACAGTTTCTGTGGTCTAGGGCAGTGCTCCCCAACCTTGGGCCTCCAGATGTTCTTGGACTTCAACTCCCAGAAATCCTGACCAGCCGAGGTGGTAGTGAAGGCTTCTTGGAGCTGAAGTCCAAGCACATCTGGAGGCTCAAGGTTGGGGACCACTGGTCTAGGGCATTATGTGCCCTAATTTTGGGAGGGGAAACACCATTTGCTGTCCTGACACAGGCAACAAAATGTTTTGCACTGGTCTTCTCTATCGTTCAATCACAAAACCAGCAGAGAAGTTACTAAACGAAAGATAACATCCTCTATCAAACCAAGCTCTTCTGTTCAAGAATCAGATATTTCTGGAATGGGAATATTCAATAAACACTTTCTTCCAGATTTAGATGTCAGGTCAGGAGTATGCTGTTCCCTGAGATCCAGAACCTGAGATCCTGCTGTGTTTGGCTTGTGATGTCACAGGCATGGGCCATTATTAGGTCACAGAGGTGGAGCAGGGAAGGCTTGGGAGTCTGGATAAACAGGCCAAAAATCTTAGTACAATCTAGCTATTCAGGTAAAATAATGATCCAGAGCCAGGCCAAACCCAAACCAAATTGAACAAGCAAATGGACAATCCAGCAGCAGCTGACTATAGGTGGCCAAGTGTGCCCAACAATAGCCTCATATGCCATGTGGCAATGCCTACAGCATGCATGACACACAGAGAATTTTTCCAGACCATAAAACTGGGCCTCAAGGCAAGCCCACCACTGGCCCATGAGGAATTTCCCCCAGATTTGATGCCACTGCTTCCAGGTCCTGTGCAACAAGGAGGCTCCTTGTTACCGCCTATCCCTTCCCTACCTTGCTCCAATAATAGGTCAAATGCAATCCCCTCAAATCAATTCTAGCTTTTTATTGCACCAATATTGCTCAAGTGAAATGCATGTGCTAACAACTTTGCACTGAGCCAGTAAGCCCTTGTATCAGGTGGGAGTGAGTGGTGAGGAGTCCCTAGGTTATAAAGACACCCGACAAACCCTAATCATACCCCTCCTTGCCCTGAGATCTGTCTCCCCACCAGAAGAATCAGGATAGCATAGCACTGCCCTGAAATTTAAGCTAGTGCCCTGAAAGCTGACATCCCTAGTCCAAATTTTGGACTCTTAGCACATGAACATGGCAGACCCATTTGGGGTTATACAGTGAAACAACATCAATTTTCTAGACAAAGACCAAGAAGATAAAACTATTTCAGTTTCTTTTGGTTACTATCCAAATATCTCCAGAAAAAATTGTTTGTGAGAGAGAGCAAGAGTGCATGCAAGTTCTATGCATATCAATCCAGGAACAAATCCTACTAATGTACATGGGTATGGTAGTTGATGTTGTGCATGTGCCTCTGTGCATTCCATCATTTCAGAAGTGATGCAATGACATTGCAGTACCTTTTATTTCTTTTTGAAAGATTTAAAATGAGAGAATTCTACAAACAAGGAGGAGCCCTCTGCATCTACCTATACATCACTGACAAATTTCTTTCAAAGGGAAGTGCATAATCAGATTGCAACAAATGTTCATCTGTAAACTGGACGTTATGTTGCCATGGCTGCAGATCTTTATTTCAGATGTGAACCAAATGACTATTTGTACTGTTTAAGGTAGCCTTCTGAAGCTGTGCTTTCAGACTGAGTTGTTATGCTTGGAACACATTTTGATTTGCAACATGAACTTCCCAGGGTAAATCAAGGTGCCCTACTCTACCCTGTTGGAAAAAAAGAGTAATCTGTACATCTAAATATACACATAGAAGTTAGAGAGGCAGGGTATCTCTTTAGTGACTGGAAAAACCTTGACCTACCCCTCAAAGGACATGAAGTTATGACTTTTCAGCTTTTTACTAGTTCCTTGAACTATGAATTTTTGGCACACAGCCACAACTTCCTAGAATGCTGTTAAGCCTGTTTTTTCCTGATATAAATCTCACCCCCTAAACCCAATATTAGTTGTGAAGAGGGAAAAACACAACATGTATCATGTTTCCATGGAGCAAACTGCAACCATAGAAAGGTTTATTGCAGGAGAAAAATGGACGGTAAGGCTAAACGTCCCTCATTTTCCCCACTAGGCTCCTCCTGATCAAATTAGAGAGGTCTGCCCCTCCCACTATGTAATGGGGTGGACTATCTCAGTCAGGGCCACCAATGTGTCCTCCCAGGCAATATCTCACAAATAATTTTGGGGGAGCTGAAATAGAGCAAGTTGCACTCTGAGAAGCCTTGGGGAGGGGCGTCATATGTCATTTACATATAAATGTGTCCTTTTTAGAAATGACCAAATGGATACTTTCTTCTTTTTTAAACAAAGAAGTCCTTTTTTGGCCAGAATAGGCTTAGAAGTGCATATGAAATTGCTTAAAAATGGAAAACCATCTTCTAGAAGTTTCTGACATCACTTCACACCCTTCATTCTCCTAGCCAGGAGTGGAATTATAGCTCAAGAACATATTCTTCACACTTGAATTAGAGAGAGAGAGAGAGAGAATAGCATGTCTTCACACTTGAATTAGAGAGAGAGAGAGAGAATTGGTGTGTCTTTTTTGTGAGTTGTCGCATTGATTCTTTCAGTCCACGTAACCTGTTAAGCACCAAGTCTCACATTTCCAAGGTTACAAAATAGCACTACTTGTTTCTTTTTAAAATGAGCATTGTTAATGTTGTTCATCTTGAAATGAATAAGCAGCACTGATACTTCTTTAGACACCCATGCCTTTCTTGCCTGATGTTGTCCAACATTCTGGACAGTTTCCCTTGGTGTAATCATAATACTTTCTGGCTGAGTAGCTCAGTGAGTTGGGTATCTGACTATGGAGTCAGAGGTCAAGAGTTTGGTTCTCCACTGGGGAAAAGTCAGCTTGTGTGGATTTGGGCAAGTTTCACAGCCCTAGAGTGCCCACAGAAAAAAAGGCACTGGTATACCACTTCTGAATATACTTAGAAAACTCTGAGGAAGGTGGCAATAAATCAGAATTAGCCCAATGGTGTGCAGTTTGTTATTAATTATTAAAAGTAAGTGCAGCTGGGGAACAAATGACATGGTGGTTGTGAAGAAGTGATAAGAGGAGATTCAACATAAAGTTTTGTTCTCCAGAACATTCTTCTTGCATTGAAACTCAGAGTCAAAAGCTGGTTTGGTTTTTGATCGGTCACTGGGAGGTTAACTTGCAAGTATGATCACGGAGGCACATACAGTATATCTGATGGAATCCTGTTGCAGGAGGGAAAATGGACTAATCACAGGAAAGATACATTTCTCTTAAAGAAGAGGTCAGCAACTTCAGGGGATCTGAAGGTGAATTTTCACCTGTCTGGGACCCCCTGGAGGCCCCACAAACTGCCGAAAT